AAGTGGCGTATACAACAGATTGTTTATTTACATCAAAACACGTGTTTCGTGTCATAGTAATATGGCCAAAATAAAAACAGCCGTTATTCAGCCATCTTTGATCTGATTATGAAACACACTGATATGTATGATGTATGTGCCAAATACAAATGAAAATGGTACATAAATTGTGGAAATATAGTAGTAAGGCCAAAAAGTCAGATGGCTGTCAATCGGCCATCCTTGACCAGATTTTGAAACAAATTGTCATGGACATGCATCCTAACATGTATAAAGTACATGCCAAATTTGAATGAAAACTGACAGATCACGTCCAAGATACCGCATAAAAAAACAAAAACAAGATGCCTGCCAGTCGACCATCTTTAATCCAATTGCGAAATAAATCGTCATGGACATGTATCCTAACATGTATAATCTATGTACCAAGTTTGAATGACAACTGACAAAGCATGTCCAAAATACAACATTTTCAAAAAACAAGATGGCTGCCAGTCGGCCATTTTGAATCGAATCGCTAAACCACTGCATGTGCATATGTCCCACATAAGGTACTAGACACATGCAAAGAATGAACGGAATCGGTCCAAGGGATTCTGATATATGACTCCGGACGGACGCACGAACGGACGGAGACCGAATTATAAGTCCCCGTTTTCGGACTTCGTCATAGCATAGCATTAGTCATAGCATTAGCATTTCTGTGGTGGTTAGGGTGTCCACAATTGTCAGCATATATAATCATTACCATGTACACAAGGGTTAGCATGTCTAAGCGCAGATAATGTGACCTCAATAATTTGCATATTAGCAAATATTGGTTTATCACGCCCAGCATTAAATATATCTCACTATATTATTAGTTTATATTCTTCTGGGTTTATAGCAATTTAAACTTCAGGTTCCGGTAGTAGGCGAGTCTCAGGTGGTGAGGCATCGTCTTCATCCTGTACCTGTCTAATTGGTCCATTATTGCAAGCTGGATTCTCTGGAAATCATGAAATTACACATATTTTCAGTAGATGTTATAACAAAGAACATAGTTGAACTCTGGTGACCTTGCCCTTTGTTATATAATATAATTCCCTTTATCATAGTTTGTTTCAATATAAATATGCATTGTCATAATTAATTTTGAATACAAACAAGTTTTGGGGTTGAACCAACAGTGGGGAATCAGTCTATCGAATGTCCTTAAAAGATGTAAATATCTTACAAAAACATTGGTGCCTTATTTGTTTAATTATTTTAAGGGACATAATTTCCAGCTTTCTTCAAAGTAATTCAGATATTTTAGTATAAAAACAAATGTCTCATTGAAAAAAGTGCTGCATTTAGATGTGAATAGATTCATAAAACATGCAAGATAACAGAAAATTTTAGCTGGCTTTAGTCCAAGTATTTTGTACAGGTGTCTGTCAAAAATTAATGATTCACTGAGATAAATATGAACTGCCTCATTGTGTGACTAATGTATT